CAAGTACCTCATGCTCAATATCGTCCATATCTTTTCGGCAGGTACTCGACTTTTGTTCGAGTGTTTTCTTAATTACTTTTACTATTTTTGTTAGCCGCTCTAACTTTCAGAGGCATCCATCTATAGAGTTACTCCTCTAGATTTAGAACTTGGATTATTAACTCACAGTTCTGGAAACTTAGGAAGCCCTGTGATTCGAAATACGTTTCGTTGGTTGTTTAATGAGTTGTCATCGTGATTCATTCCAAAGACGATTGGCTGGGCATTGTGGTAGTTCATTTCGAGCAACGTACGTATAGTCATTTTTGTTATAATTCGTTTTTACGAGATCGGAAGTTATTTTTAGCCTTTGACCCCTTCATTTTAGACTTTAACGAATAGATTATAGAGTTCATACAGTAAATCGTCAAACGATGATTCTAGGCATTGATTGGTGGTAGGGACTAATTGGTTTGAGGCGATCATTGAATATTCAATGCATAACAAATCTATTGCTTATTCGGAAGTAAACAATAAAGATTTTATTCATTGTAAAGCAGAATGCTCCTATGTTGTTTGCTCGATCGATATTTTGTTGATTTATTCTTTGGAACAAATAATTTTGTTTGTGGAATGAAATTCTATTTAATTGAAGAGCCGTTTTCTTGCAGTCGGTGAGGAGAAATTTGCCGTTTCTGCGGAACGCGATTATACTGGTGCGTTTGTTACCGTTTATTTTTCCTAACTTTTTATCTACGTGTTATTTATGAAATGTCATAAAATGTCTCCGCGTACACTAAGATAACTGGGTCATAACATAAGCGACTGACCCGATTTTGCACAAGCCTGCATCACATTTTTATGGTCATTACTATATATTTCTATAGTTTCCATGTCTTACACTTCCTTTTCCATATTTTCCATTTGAAACATTGTTTCTTCAAAAAAAAAAAAACAGTGCGGTATCGGTAAGGATAGAGATATCGCTAGCAAGAAGCCGGCCATCCCATCTCGGCTATTAAGAAAAATGGGTATAGCAGCAGGTACTGTTATGTCATACTGCTCCATCCATGTTTATTGGCGAACTTTTCTGCATCAGTACTTGGCAGTTGTTAATGTTCCAATATCACCTGCTCCAAATTCAGATACTTCGAGTTCGCTCAGTAGTTCCTCGTTGTAGAGACATCTTTTAGTGGTGCGACTATTTTAAAAAACGATCGCGAATGTCCAATCTCCTTACTTCTTCAAAGAGAGCTCAGCAGTTGAGAAAGTCTGCCCGCTGAAGTTTACCTCTGGGCGCTGCGTTTCAGGAACCTGATCCAGTACATTGTCTTAGCGTCTCAACAATCTCGAGTTTTATTTGAACATTCGGCATGAAGCTAGTATGTTGCCAATCGCCGATAGCCTTTTGCCTAGAGAGCGGTACTTCCAATGTTCTTATACTTTTCGTCTGTGAGAGATGGATTATGCTGACCAATATTATTCACTTATTTGGTAAAAACAGTACAGTATGCACGTAATATTGCAAAATCATAAGCGATTATCAGTAGATAAGATTAAAAAGGAACGTAAACAGAAATTCTCACCTTTTTAAAAGTTTTCAAGTTGTAAATATTTAAAAAAAGCTATCTCCGGGGCCTGATGTCGTAGGGCAGGGCACCCAATCCTTTCACCGAGGCCTGATAAAGAAAGCGTTTGAGGAGCCATGTCTGTAGGACAACTGAGCCGCTGGTGCTTGCTTGAGATTACCTTCTGTTGAACAACTGGCGTCTGTTCGAAAGTTGTATGGAAATGGGAATTTGACTAGGTGACATACCTTTCACATATTCCGAATGGTATAAGTAAATTTGTTGTATTGCTCTTTTACATGCTACCAGTTATAGTAAGTGAAGTGATTGAAATCTGGTTTGCATAGTAAATCNTACTCGACTTTTGTTCGAGTGTTTTCTTAATTACTTTTCCTATTTTTGTTAGCCACTCCAACTTTCATGAGGCATCCATCTACAGAATAATACTCTAGATTTAGAACTTGGATTATTAACTCACAGTTCTAGAAATCTTAGAAAGCCCTGTGATTCGAAATACGTTTCGTTGGTTGTTTA